GAGGACAAATTTGCCTACGGGGGACAATAAAGTATATCTGAACTGAACTTAGTCTGGAGCATTAGAACTATTCAATGTTAGGTCATGTGACATATCCTAAATCAACATACTGTATATATATATTTGAATAGACCACATGAATCAACACTACTGTTTACGTGCCAGTATTAGCTTTATGGCTAGTTACTGTAATATTAATACTGTTAGGTTAGGTTCTTTTTATTGATTCATGAAAATGCAGAGTTGTACAAGTATCAACAACACGTTTTTTTTTTCTTCAATTCATTCAATAATAAAATCACAATAAATACTATTAAAGAATTTCAGGGAGCTGTTTTGTGGGAGCCCCGACACCAAATCTGTATCTTAACTTTCCTATATGTGGTCTGAATTAGCTGCCATGTCTTGAATACATATATTTGTGTGTGTGTGTGTGTGTGTGTGCGTGTGTATATGTGTGTGTATGAGACTGTATATTCATAGGTATTTTCTCACATTCAGATGATGCTCATGCTCCTGCGGCGTTTCTCTCTCTCAGCCCGATGAAAACGCCGCATAATCAACGCTTCCCTCGTGGACAGAGAGCCCCGGACCCTTTTCTGAATCCTGTAATATCGATTTGCCTTTAAGGACCTGCTTTACCAAGTACCACCAGTGAGTTACCGTTCTGTCTGTGTTAAAAACGTTATGGTACATCCCACTATATCTCTGCACCAAAACACATCTGTCTTTCCTGTCGATCCATCCAAGAAATCTATCAGTCATCTATAAGAGCATGCTGAGAATATACTCTGATATAAATAGGGGTGTTATAATGGTTTAAAGGAGATATTAGCAGATTGATCATGAGTAAAAGTCTTGCGGAACATTGATTATAAAGTCAAGAACAGACACAGAGCAGAAGTGACCACATATACAGTATTTGTAAGTGTTGTTATGAGGTTTCATGAAAAAGTGTCATTTGGTTTTCTAGTTACTTGGTTTTAGAATTGTCAATCATGGGAGTGAATGTCACTGTGTCTATGTTGTGTATGTGTGCGTCTGCCTGTCTCTGTCCGTGTCTGTCTTGTCTGTGTCTTGCATGTGCGTTTTGTGTCTGTGTCTTGTCTGTGTGTGTCTGTGTTTTGTATGTGTGTGTCTTGTCGGATATTTTTGTTTGTCGGTCTACTTTTGTCATGCCTTTTTTATAGATTGATGCCTGTATGATTTTTGTTGGTTGCAGAGCTCATTGTTTTGGCTGTAGTTACGACATCTGTTATGTTTTGAATTGTCAGACCTTCAAATAATGCAAATAAAGACAATTATATACATATAAAAAAGTCATATTATTGTTTTGTGGTGGTATTTTTTTGCATTATTTTTTTTATCATTTTGTCATTTAGTCTTGAGACTTTGTGAGAACTGTAGGTCGACGTTACATCCTTGCGCTCCATGACCTCAGAGCAAGTTATAGTGACAGTCGTCCACGAGGTTAAGCAAATTTTACATTTTCATTTTTGTACCAAAGAGAATAAAATGTGTTCAATTGTATTTTTTATTCGTCCTTTCGTTTTCACAGCGTTAAAGAGACATTTACGACAATCGTGAAGGTCATTAAACGCACCATGGGATCAACACAGACAGTACTTCACTAGTTGATCCAAGGATTTCTTATACAGCAAGAAAACTTTTGGTACATCAGCTCCAGCTAAAAGTTGTCATAATCCAACAGCTGTCTAATCTGTATTGTTTCTAAAAGTCTTTGTTTTCTTCCCGAAGCTTGGAGCCGGTTTTTTTGTCGCAGCATTCAAAGCACTGCTGCTGCTTTTGCATTCGCCGCCGGCTCCAAACGCCCGAGTTGTGAGTGCAATCATGTGACCCGGCAGTTCCACCGTGTGTTTGATAACCTGCCACTGTGTGCTGTTCCCTCCTTTGTCTTTGAATTTGTGATTGAAATTCCTCACACCTACATCCACTCATCCTCCTACAGCCAGCCGCACACACACACAGCAACACACATAGCAACGCAAGCTCAAAGGGGAATGTTGTGTCTGGCAAAAAAAACCTAAGCTCTGCACAGATGCCAACTTTGAAATGTTTTTGATTTCAGGATGTAGGATTCTTGATATAAACCCAGGGAATCGAAAAAGTTCAACCTAAAACATAAATGATACATGTAGTATTGTTCCAAGTTGCTTTTTTAACCCTTTAATGGTTTCCTCAACAATTTGGTGGATGACTTTTTGTCTCACAATATGTACTTGAAGCTTCTAACTGAAATCTACTTCATTGGGGCGTCTCTATCACGTGGTTTTTAGGCCCTTTCAACACTTTAACCATTTTGTAAATGCCTATAATTTATAAACCAGGGTTCCAATGTGTGTTATTAATCCTCCGATATCTTAGAAAAACAGAGAAGACACATTTAGATTGCTTTCTTAAAGCTGCACCAACTGACTTTCTTTTTGTATTCATTTCAAAAATCCTATCCATGTCCATGCAGTGCATTGGGATAAACGTCCTTTTGAAGAAAAAGTAGCGCAGGTTTGTGCTGGCGTGACATTATATTTTAGATCGAGTTTTGATGAAAAAAGGAAGAGAATGTGTTTCGGGACCAGATTGTGACCAATCACAGCGGACCACTAGCCCCCACTTTTGTGAGAAATCTACAGGTCCCTCGCGCACAGACAGCTGAGTTAGCACAACAAGCGGCAGAGCTAACCTGAAGCTTCCGTGTCTTCGTCACCGGTTACTGCTTATGTGGCAAGCTGGACTTGGCCACCATATTTCTGTCCAGTAGAGGGCGCATACGGACAGTATAAATGGCCTCGAGTCGCCTTTCTTGTTTACCTCTGCACTTCCGTCTCCTGTGGGTCGTTGCGCCAGCCCTTCTCCTGCTCCAGGTAGTAGAGTTTTAGTGTTAATTCTAATATTTGTAAGATTTCAGCCTCTAATGTTGAATTGTTGTTGTAGTGCAGCCGTGTGGCATTGTGCCCCGCGAGTCCTGTTTGTGCATGGCCACGCTGTCCAGTCGCTTTGGCGTCTGGCCGCCCTCATTGCTGGGGTCCTAGTGCGTCGTAGCCGGCTGTGGGTCTGGGCCTGTAAACCACCACTCATCAAGAGTGCGCGCTCAGTGTTGGCTGTGGAAATGTAGGTTTTAGCTGCACACACTGACAGCATTGTGGTTGTTATGATAATTTAACTCTACTTTAATTCGTAGGCTGGGGACTGGCCACATCGCGGCCCACCGCTGTTTCTCCTGTTTCTCTCCCGTCCTTCGCGACTTGAAGATGGGCTCCTGTAACTATAATTGAGAAATGTGACAGAAAATTAAGAGAACAGAACTATACATAACATAATAAACCAAAGTAACTTGTGTCTGTCTATGCCTCTCAATTATGATGGATGAACCTGTGCGCCTTAGGAGCGCGTTTTATTTTATTTTGGGCACTCTGCCCTGGCGTTGCTGGTTTTTCTTTCTTTTATTTTATTGTTATATTATTTTAGGAGCGCGTAGCACCCTCAACTTGCCACACTTACACAGCGAGACAGCCATCCAAAAGAAAGTCCCGTTCCTCCGCGCTTCCCGGTTCTATCCCTCTATGGTCACGCCGTCCACGTTCAAATGTACGATATGATTCTATCCATATTGGGAGACGCTAGCTCCGTAAACTACATTGGGTGTGCAGTAGCGGGGGGCGATAGCTTCATGGGTGCGGGGAGGGGAGGAGAAAGAGCGAGGCCAGCGAGTCCACTGCTTCAAAATCCCAAAGTCACTTAGTTCAGCTTTAAAGGAGTGAACATTAAAGGGTTAACCCTATAGCAGCCATTCCCAAACTCAGTAACACCGAGGCCCCCTTAAAAATCTGACGGGTCTGCGTGGCCCCCCCAAAATAATAACCAAGAAGACAACATTAAGAATAGGCTCTTCTGGTTATTTTATTTTGGGGAAATAGCCTCTGCTACAAACATTGTAATACAAAAATGATTACAGTGGATTATTCAAGTCAAATAATGAACACAAATATTTTAATATTACAAACAAAACATTATAAATTTAACATTAAATAATTATATTATTTTTTTTATGACCTCCCGCGGCCCCCCTGCAGTACCCTCGCGGCCCACCAGGGGGCCGCGGACCCCACTTTGGGAGACACTGCCCTATAGCATCCTTGGTTACAAATTTGCAATACAAAGTTCAATGGTTATGGCAAAAGAAGTGACTTTTTGGTTTAAGGTATCATCTAATATATGTGTGTATGTGCCCAAGAACCACAACTAGCTAATAGGCTACATTGCCAAATTTGTTGATTGTATGTTGCCTCCAAAAATAGCATAGGTGTTTTCTTTCAACAAATTAAACAGTATTACTGCCAAGTTCACACTGAGATGAGATGGGGAAAGATTCAGAAATGTGTCAATGTCAACCAGTTTTATTAGCAATCGAATGAATGACAAAAACAAGGTGTTCGTTGTGCTTCTGTCTGTTTAATGGCAGTAATTAACAAGCGTTGGACTGGACCACAAATGAAGAGTTCTGAGGGTGCTCGTGTGCTTACAGCTCCATGCGTAGAGTGTGGTGGACCTATAGAAGTGATATTCTCAGTTCATCATCAGTATGGCTTTGCATTTCAGATCGCCGGCAGCAGCACTACTGTGTGTGCAGCTTAATTCTGCTCTCCCCCCAGACTTCACTGACATTTTCCAAGGTCTTGCTTTCAAGCATTGCCTTGATTAGTGCAGCAGGTTTTTAAGATGAACTAATCCCCCTAGTCCCTGCGAAACTCTCTTTTTATACAGAAACCAGTCAGCAAACAGAGACGCCCGTCAGCAGAAATATACAGTAGTGCAGAGGAAATATTAAGCTCCACAAAACTGATGTCTCTATTTAGCCACACAGCAGCGGCTGATCAGACCATCACTGACCGTTTCCTCTGTTGCTGCTCACAAATAATAACGCTGCAAAGTGCTGACCACCGGCTTTTCCAACATTTTCTCTGAATCTTCCTTTTGAAAATCTACTCCCACTTAAAGTCGTGGCCGACCATTTCATAAAAGCGTATGTTGTAGGGTCTGTAGAAGTCTCTGAGCTGCTCGATGGCCTCCCTGTCGATCTGGACATGTGTTCTGCCTTTAGACTTGCCCAGGCAGCGCGGGGACCCACTGCTCTCTGGCTTCTTTAGGCAGGGGAAACCTTTGGTGCGGTTAAAGTAGAAGTGTTTGTCTGTCACAATACGTTTCAGACCCAGGAAGTCCTGAACTCGCGCCAGTTCTCCTGCTGGGTCTGTGATGAGACGTTCTCCACTCACAAAGTGGATCTGAGCCAAAGGAAAGAAGCGCAGCCAGTTGTCCAGGTGCAGGGCGTAGAGGCCGATGCGGATGGCGTTCCAAGAAGTGTCCACGATCCCCAGAGTCTGGTTCCTAAAGGCCAACTCTTGGAAGCTGGGCAGGTCTGGAGCTTTGGTCAAGGTCTGTGTGTAGTCAGATATTGCACGTGTGACTGGATCCCTCACCACCACGATGAGCCGTGTTTCCCGGGACATGGCGGAGATCCTCTGAGGAGTCTCTTTGGTCACAAAATAACTGGGGGTCTTCTCCATGGTGATCTGGGAGTCCAGGGTGCGAGGCATCAGACCCCTGAGGGAGACAAGGAGAGTCAGAGAATCAATTCAATTCAATTTATTCTTGTACAACGCTAAATCACAACAGTAGTTCAATCTGGAGAGACTGGAATAGACAAAACATAGTATTAGAATTGTATGTTGATCGGCAATAATCTGACACTACATACATGACACACATGACTCTGAGGACAATAATTTCAACATTACATTTATTGCTGCTGTACAGAATGTGGTTAGAATCTGGCGCTTAGACCCTGGCAGAGAACTGCACGATTGCAGAAGGGGAAAGAGACCCTGGTGATGGGAGCTAGGAGAAGAATGAAGGAGCTGGCCCTGAACGAGGCGGAGATGGGGAGGAGGAGGGTTGCAGCATGAATGAAGATGCTCCTTGGATGGAAGTTCTGCGTGATATGAAGCTGATGTGAGCAGAGCCTGATTGCTGCAGGTGAGAATTTGCGTGAGGCGCTTGAGTGTGGTTGACTGATGGCTGTTGCTGTGGGAAACAGCTGGAGGACTTTGAGCGAAATGAGCTTGGTTCTCCTGTCTTCCAGTCTGAATTTGCGCTCAAGCTTCATTCATCTTGGAGGACTTTACACAACCTTGGAATTTGCCAACACAGATCAGAGAATCAAACCGTTCAAACAAGCCATGGGTCCATAAACGGGCCAATAATGGGCAGAGAACAATGTCCAAAAGTGCTGATACATTTCCATAAATGTCGTTGCATGTTGAGTGTCCTGGATCATCACCTCTGTCCTTTTAGTTAGACCTCACAAGACTCAGACCCTCCTGTATCGGCGAGGAAAAACTCTCAACCTCTCACAGAGTTTCACGATTCTGAACTTTTCCTTTTACCCTCAAGTGCATAATATTCACAGCACTTCATGTCCTTGCAATTGCTTTTAAAAGTACAATGGTACATGTATGTAGGGCAGGATTACACAGGTGAGTTTATAAAAGAGAGTCTGGGCCCCAGCTCTCCGCATGTAAATGATAATAGGAGAGGCTGGTAGTGGTCCGGTGTCACAGGAGACTTGTGGGAGACAGCTTCTGCTCGGATCAGGATAATAAATCACCACCAATACAAACACTGAGTCTGAAAGTAGGCCACTGTGGTCTGCAGTGACATCGGACCAGCGCGACCACGGAAATAACTTTAAATGTTGACAAATCCATTTCAGAAGAGGGACATAACTGAATGAGGTGTTGCCTTACTTTAGTCTTCATCTCCACCCGATCAATGGAATCTAGATGTAAAAAATAAGTATTGAATCTCTAATTCTAGTCTTTTGGGACTCGGCTGACGGGTGTATGAAGGTAAATACTTCCAGCGCGTGTTAAAGAGGCAGGAGTGGTACCTGACCTTTGTTGGTCTCTGACAGCTGACACTCTCTGAGGGTAATGGGCCCCGGCTCACACTGATAAAAGGCACGAGTCCAATTAGGCCGATGCATGCACTCTGTCATTACTGTCAAACTGCACTGGGGGTTATGAACATGGATCTGCATGTATTACTACTGTAGTAGTACTGTAGTACACGTGTCGTACTATTGTAGTACACATGTTGTTCTGTAGGGCTCCATATGCTCCAAAGGCCTTCTTTGGACATTGATAAATGATAATATTTACATTGATAATAGTCATAATGTTTCATGTATTGGATTTCTTCAATATACAAATGTTATGAAACAAAATAATACATTACACATGTCTTCTACAATACCATCCATCCATCCATCCATTTTCTTCCGCTTCATCCGTTGCCGGGTCGCGGGGGCAGCAGTCTAAGCAGAGACGCCCAGACTTCCCTATCCACACACACCTCCTCCAGCTCGTCCGGGGGGACCCCAAGGCGTTCCCAGGCCAGCTGAGAGACATAGTCCCTCCAGCGTGTCCTGGGTCTTCCCCGGGGCCTCCTCCCGGTGGGACATGCCCGGAACACCTCCCCAGGGAGGCGTCCAGGAGGCATCCGGAACAGATGCCCGAGCCACCTCAACTGGTTCCTCTCGACGTGGAGTAGCAGCGGTTCTACTCCGAGCTCCTCCCGTGTGACTGAGCTCCTCACCCTATCTCTAAGGGAGCGCCCAGCCACTCTGCGGAGGAAGCTCATTTCGACCGCTTGTATCCGCGATCTTGTTCTTTCGGTCATTACCCAAAGCTCATGACCATAGGTGAGGGAGGGGACGAAGATTGACCGGTAAATTGAGAGCTTTGCCTTTCGGCTCAGCTCCCTCTTTACCACAACGGTCCGATACAGCGACCGCATCACTGCGCACGCTGCACCGATCCGCCTGTCAATCTCACGCTCCATCCTTCCCTCACTCGTGAACAAGACCCCGAGATACTTGAACTCCTCCACTTGAGGAAGGGCCTCTCCTCCCACCCGGAGAGGGCAAGGCACCTTTTTCCGGTCGAGCACCATGGCCTCAGATTTGGAGGTGCTGATTCTCATCCCCTTCTACAATACCTTTGAGGCTAATACTACACTAAGTCTTGATCCTTTTTGTTGGCCACAAGTGATGGATTGGGGTCATTGTCACAGTTGGGTTTTATGTGTCCATCTTCCCCACAGTTATAGCAGTAACCTGGTTTGGGTCCTGCTGCTGGGGTTTTGTTGGAAGATCCACTTTGATTGTTGGACTTTGGTTTTGTGAGCGATGCCAGCTGCTTCTGTATGTCTGCTAGCTGTTGAGCAAGTTGCTGCGTGATGTTGGTCAAAGCGTCTACTTTCGATTCCTCTAGTGTGGCATAGGCATATTGTGCGTTTGCCCCGGCTCTGGATTTTGAACCGAGGTGTTGCTTCATTCGCTGAGCCTTAGCAGCCTCTCTGTCTTCTTCGGTCCTTAACAACAGCAGTAATTCAGCAAAAGATGGTGGGCGAGATTTGCGCTGTTTTAACTGCAGTTCTGAAATGAGAGTGTTGTTCGAACAGCCGCGACAAAATTGGTTAAGCAGGTGTCGGCCCAAATTGATAGCTGCGACTCCACCCCTTTTCACAGCTAGACTCAATGCAACTTGCAAGCGATGCAGATACGTGGATGGACTTTCACCAGCATCCTGGAACAACTCCATGAACTTGGCATACAATTCGTCACCGTCTTGGACTGTCCCATAAGCAGAGTCAAGTATCTGCAAGTAGGTACGTGGTGGTGTATCTGGCTTGAGGTGTTTCACCATACCTGCTGCTGGTGGAAGGACGCTTTTGAATAATTTTCTTGAGCGTTGCAGGTCTGAAACAGCAGTGTCTTGTAACAGCAGGTCAACACCGGAGCCCCAAGTCTCAAAGTCTGACTCATGTTGTGGTCTTGGGGTACAACCTGAGAAGGATCTGAGGCGCTCCTCATGATGTGCTCCACAACATAGTGTAACACCCACAATGTAATTCCGCCATCATTTATCAATATTTTTATCATTATTGTACGTATTATATTAGCCCTTTTTGCTGATTGGCCCTAAGCACAACATCAGGAAGTTAAACGTCCCGGTTGCCCAGGTAACTGTCTGCTCCGCCCCCTCCTCCACTCTCACTGTGTGCTGTGGCAGCTGGCGCTAGGCTACAAACCAAGTGGCTACAACCTGACGTTGTTTTCCCTAATCAGACCACTCCTAGACATTCTGATTCATCGGCCAGGTTTTTTGTTCATCCCTGGATTATGGACTGATCCTCTCTGGACTGACTCTTCACTGACTATCCCATGAACTGAGTACACTGATGGCGAGCTGGTAGGATAGACTTTGATATTTTTCTCTTTTCGAAATCCTTGGACTATGGATTAAGACTCTAAAACCCTAACATTTCCCCGAATTCAACAATGGATTAAAACTATTCACACGGATTAAAAACCAAACAATGGATTAAAACCTGAACTCTTTCCTAAAAACGGATAAAAAAAACTGAAAGCATTGAGCTTTAAAATCAAAGACTTATTTTGAGTATTGTTATTAGTTTTTGGAATACTTTTTGCTATTTTTGTTCTTTTTTTGTGTGGTAAATATACATTTTGAATTCTTCATACTTTTCCCTTATTGATAATCCTTGATCTAAACCTTTAATACATTTTTTCCTTTTGCATTTAAACTTCATTGTCTCTGTGTCATTCATACCACCCTCAAGCTCCTAAACGAATTTGGACTTCTGTGAACTAACCCATTAGAGATTTCAAGATTATAACATAGGTTACAATAGTGTTGGACTCCGGGTGGGTTCAAATCTGAAGAGCCCATTGTTGGTATTGCTGGCCTCGCAGAGACTCGGGGTTGAGCATCAGTATCCGGATGGCTCGATGGTATTCCCTCTTCTTGCGCTGTAGCTGTAGCACCATCCAGACTGGAGTTGGGAACACCGGGCAACTCTGCAGAAATACCAGGCATGGCTCGAGTCGAATCGTGACTGGGATGTGGGGAAGTCTTCACTGTAGGTGGGGGACTGAGCTTGGTAATTGACTGGCCCAGTAGAGACATTACACCTTTAAGGACCTGTGCATGGTCCTGCCCTGTGAGTTTATCTACTTTTTGTTACTCACTCAAGTATGTCCGAGTCTTGAGCTTGCCTTCAAGCTCAGAGCACATGGTTGAAAGTTCACAAATGTCACGCAAAACCTTTTTATTCTGACAAATGTATCTGTATGGCAAAATATCCCTCAACTCATCTAAAGCCTTTCCCGACTCAAACTCAACAACAAGGGTATCTACAAAATCACCACCATTTGATTAATACTGAACAAGGAATCTTTATGCCATGTTTTGCCAAAACGTCCATGTTTGTGTTTGAATGTCACTTTGTTTATTTTGGTTCAATTCTGCTCGTACAGCCCTCCTGGCTAGCTCGCCACTAAGTAGAACAAACAAGAAGCCACAAAATCTCAGAATAGTGTTATAACACAGAAAGTAATAAACATGTAATAAGAATATAATAGAATTGTAATAGAGTTGTATTAGGCTAGTAGTCAGAAGTCTAGATTTGGTTCAAGGAGGGAGTGGCAGGAGACTGAATAAGTTTGGTTGGT